TAATTAAAATTAGTAAGTGTAGAATAAACCAAATAAAAAGAAACTGAAGCAAGAGAGTGAAATGAGAAATTGCAACATATTCCTAGACAAACATATATGCATATGAGTGTTCTGAGCAGTGTTACTCATAACAGCAAAACAGCTAGAAACAAAAATTAAAGCTCATGGCTGGGAAGGTGGCTCAGTGGTAGAGCACTTGCCTTGCATGCTCGAGGCCCTAGGTTCGATTTCTCAGCACCACATAAGAAAAAAGCCGGAAGTGGCACTGTGGCTCAAGTGGTAGAGTGCTAGCCTTGAGCTGAAGAGCTGAGGGACAGCGCCCAGGCCCAGAGTTCAGGCCCACGACTGGACCCCCCCAAAAAATTAAAGCTTATGAGCTGATAAAGAAATGTATATTCATACAATGGGATACTATAAATACATGCTAGAACACAAATGAATGTCACCATTATATTCTTGAGTAGCTATGATCATCTTCAATGTACCATTACACTCATATTCTATGAAAAGATTTTTAGAGTACTTGAACACCATTTATTCTCTCTCCACATTTATTTAGTCTTTGTAAACTTTACGTTACTGATAAAAACTAAATAGAGAGACATGATGGAAATAAGTACTAAGTTAATTAAGGTCTTTTGACAAAAGGGAAAGAAAATTTCTTCAGGCAGAGGAGAAGGGTTGCTTCTTGGAATGATGTAACTCAAGAGTTTAGGGAAAAGATGTGAATCATAATCTGCCCAGGGGTCCTCATTCCATTCTTTCCCTTAAACGAGAGACTTCATCTTCGTTGAGCTGGTATTAACAGAAAACCAGATTGAATAATTAATACACAATAGAAATATATTTGGCTCACAATTTCATCAATGGTTAAGTCCAAAAATGGTACCAACATCTGGTGAGTACTTTTGTGTTACACTAACCCTGGCAGAAGAACAAGCAAGCACAGGTGAAGCAGAGAACAAAGTCAGGCAAAATTCACCCTTTTAAACAGAACATAACAGCACTCATAAAGGCAAAGCCTCCAACTTTCAATAGCCTCTTAAAGGTCCCACTTCTTAACTCTTACAATGGCAATCACATTTCAACACAATTGGAGAGGACAGTGAAATCACAGCAGAGACCCTGTGGGGTTGGGAATTCAATTTGTGTTGTCATTCAACCATTCACAGGCTGAGACTTGGGGTTTGCCTTTCAGAAACCTCAGCCCTCTGGCTATAGGTGTCAGGGTTTCTCTCAGGGTAATCATAGAAACTTTCAGCTGGGAATTTAAAGCCTTGTACTGATCACTTGCTTCAGTAGCAATCAACCAACCCAACCAAATGTATTTTAACTAAAATACTCTTAAGGTACCAAATATTCAGTCTCTCAGTGTCTTGCCTTTTGTGGGTTCTTGATTAAAGGTGATCATTTGAGTAAACATTTTGCTCCTTCCTGCCAAGGACTACGAGCATGCTCTTCACTTGTGGAAAATGCTTTTAAATCTAATCATACTTGGGAACTAATTCCAGAAAACCCAGGACAAATACAGAACACTCATCCTTAAGGTCTGTTGTTCTGAAACCATTCCCAGTACTAAATTCTGCATTTGTGATGGTCCAACCACAGAAGACCAGTAGGCAATAGTCATGTGGCACATGATTACATTCGGTCAATGATAGACTGCACATATGGGGCTGGGAAGGTGGCTCAGTGGTAGAGTGCTTGCCTAGCATGCATGAAGACCTGGGTTTGATTCCTCAGGACCACATACAGAAAAAGCCAGAAGTGGCACTGTGGCTCAAGTAGAGTGCTAGCCTTGAGCAAAAAGAAGCTTGGGGATGGTGCCCAGGTGCTGAGTTCAATCCCTAGGCCTGGCAAAAATAAAATTTAAAAAAAACAGACTGCACATATGATATGGATCCCATAAGATTAGTGGTATTATAGCTCTTAGTTTTTGTAAGAACACTGTGAGGTTCACACGATCATGAAATCATCTAATCATGAATTTCTCAGAATATATCCATCATGAAGTGACATATAAACATGATTCTATGTGAGTGCACATGCTCACATATTCACTGACACAGATTCTGCATATCTAGTAGAAGTGACTTCTGTAAGCATGGAAGACAGTTAAGCAGTCACTGTAAGGTTGTGGTCTCTATATCTGCTGTTTGCATAGCAGTCAGGTAGATCGCAAGCCAGCTGAAACCCACATGCATGCACTGGCACCCATAGTAAGATACTGAAGCTTATAGCCATTCTTTTGCCTCTGACCTTCATGATGGGGATGTCATATATCATGGCATTATGCACATATACATAGCCTAGAAATCAAAGAAGCTACAAGGGTAGAGCAATTGCAGGCTATTTCTCGTCTCATGCCAACAAGGTCAGTCAGTAGATCAGTAGGTGTGAGTTACAAAAAGACTACTGATTCCCTTTGCATTTTCAAATCTCTCCAAAATTTCCCTTGTGGCCCACCCTAATCAGAAACTTGTAAGAAGTAAATTCTAAGACAGTCCTGGCCATAATGACTCATCATAAAAAGCCATCTTGCCAGGCGCTGGTGGCTCGTGCCTATAATCCTAACTAGTCAGGAGGCTGAGATCTGAGGATCACACATCAAAGCCAACCTGGGCAGAAAAGCCCTTGTGAGAATCTTATCTCCAGTTAACCACTGAAAAACTGAAATAGCACTGTGGCTCAAGTGGTAGAGTGCTACCTTGAGCACAAAGAGGCTTACAGACAAGGCCCAGGCCCTGAGATCAAGCCCCCTAACCAACAAAAAAGCCATCTGTTATTCTTCAATGGTTGTACTATTTCTTCATATTCTTTTGTTTTTGACTTTGCTTTAATAAATTATGTTTTTCCAAAGAAAACTGTCCAGTGACCTAGTTTAAAAATGATTGGCATCCTATGATACCCCTAATACATATACAATTTTAATTTTGTCATTAAAAAGCTGGCATAAACCGCGTGTCAGTGGCTTACACCTATAAAATCCTAGCTATGCAAGAGGCTGAGCTCTAAAAATCAAGGTTCAAGGCCAGGCTGGGCAGACAAGTCCATAAGACTCTTATCTCCAATTAACCACCAAAAATCTGGAAATGATTCTGTGGCTCAAACTGAGCCTTGAACACAAACATTCAGGGACAGCATTCAGGCCTTGAGTTCAAGCCCCAGTACCAGCACAAAAATAAATCAAAGCTGGCATAAATTTTATTCACAAGATTATCGTGAAGTACTTTTTTCCGTTTTTTACATTTTCTGGTAGAGCTACAGTTATATTCCCTTTTCATTCATTTATTAGGAATTACCTTCTAATATTTTTAATTTGCATTATGAGGGGAGAATATAAAAGCTTTTGTTATTTGGTATTTCTTGTGCATTTAAAAATATGTGGCTGGGCGCCAGTGGCTCATGCCTGTAATCCTAGCTACTCAGGAGGCTGAGATCTGAGGATCTTGGTTCAAAGCCAACCTGGGCAGAAATGTCTGTGAGACTCTTTATCTCCAATGAACCACCAGAAAACTGGAAGTGGTGCTGTGGCTCACGTGGCAGAGCACTTGCCTTAAGCAGAAGTGCTCAAGGATGGGCGCCAATGCCCAGAGTTCAAGACCCACGACCGACAAATAATAAGAGTAATAATAATAATAATATGTAGTCAGGTATCAGTGGCTCACACCTATTGGATTGTTATTCAAAGTCAGCCCAGGCAGAAAAGTCCATGAGACTCATCTCCAATTTACTTCCAAAAAGCCAGAAGTAGAGTTGTGGTTCAAAGGGGGATAATGCTAGACTTGAGCCCAAAAGCTCAGGGACAGTACCTGGAACTGGCCCAAAAATGTAAAATTTTAAATGCAAAATTTTATCAATGTGTATAAACACACAGTATTCTTATTTCTACATATTACCGACTCATAGCATCAGGTATACTAATTGCTCTGTACAATCTTGCATACACTAATTTTAATTTTAATTTATATGATCAATTACTAACAAAGGTATAACAATTTTAATTTTTGGTAGTGTTGTTTTTGTATTACCAATTTTAGACCATTTATCTTATTATATTAATAGATATATCTCTTAATTATTTTATTTTTGTGGCAAATTATTCCTTCTAGCATTTATTAATCATCTTTTTTATCCCCAATTACATACCTTCCTTAAAGTCTGTTCTGCCTTCTTTTAATATATGCATAATAATCATCTTAATTATATCTTCTACCCCAAAATGTTTTTAAAGTTGCTGTTATGATTTAAGAAGGACATTATAGTTTACTCACTATTTCTAGTGTGGGTAATAGGCATGCTTATAGGATCTGGTCTGTGTCGAGATCGTGGTATTTAGAACTTTCAAAAAAAATGAAACCTGACTGCTCAGGAGGCTGAAATCCTAGGATCATGGCAGGATAGTTCATGAGCACAAAAAGGTCAGGGACAGCACCCAGGCCCAAGTTCAAGTCCCAAGAATGGCACACAAAAAAGAAAGAAACCTGAGCTAGGCACTGGTGGCTCATGCCTGTAATCCTAGTTACTCAGGAGGCTAAGATCTGAGGACTGCAGTTCAAAGCCAGCTCAGGCAGACTTTGAACTGAATTCAAGTTGTAGAACCAGAACTCACAAAAATCTATGCTCTTCAGCAGAAACATTTCTGTGTTTGATATGTGATCAGAATAGCAGAATACATGATCTGTGGATAATCAAGATCCTATCTTATCAACAAAGTTGTCAGACCATATTCATCACAGGGATCAATCAGGATGTACTGACTTTGTATCTCCAACAGACAAGAAAAAGTAGGGCTGATTCTACAATTCCCCCCCCCAAAGATTTGTTATGATGGTAGTAGAACTTCCAATATTCATATTGTACCTCTGTTTGTGGTGTGAACTGGAGTCTACTTTTTGCTTTCATTAACTATGGATTTTGAATATTCTCGAAAAGACTGCAATTTTGATTCCAACAAGCCTGAGAGGAACCTTCATTTAAAGTTAGTAAACTTGGGCGTTTTATGTATTCAACTTGTCATGTTTATGCACTACATAGAATGTCTTAAAAAATTCATTTAAATCCATTGTGTTGGCAAGCTCATCAATTTGAGAGTCATCAATACAAACACTGTAGTGAGAACTGAAAAGTTTCCACATGGCCAAAAATATTTTCATGGAGATTAGGCCTAAAAGAATATAGGAGAAAGCATTGAGTGTTTATTTAAATACCACCTAAGGGAGGGCCTTGGAAGCCACACTAAATAGTATGAATTAGAAGCTCTCTAACATGCCAGACAATCAAGATACTGAAAGAAAGAGAAGAAAAAGTTTGTAAGTGGAAGAAACAATGTATTACTTTTAACTACTAAGAATCCTAAGATTATTCTAAAGCCACCAAGAGAAAACAGTGAAAAAAACAAGAGAAGGGATAAAAACTATAGGATTAAATGTGGTATGAAAACCTTTCAATCAGGTGCCAGTGACTCATGCCTATAATTCTAGCTCCTCAGGAGGCTGAGATCTAAGGACTTCAGTTCAAAACCAGCCCAGACAGGAAAGCCTGTGAGAATTTCATCTCCACTAAACTACAAAAACAGCAATAAAAAATGGAAGAGGGTCTGTGGCTCAAATGGTAGAGTGCTAGCCTTCAGTAAAAGTAGCTCAGGGACATCAGCGAGGCCCCATGTTCAAATCCTAGAACCGGAGTGCACACACATGCGCGCGCACACACACACATTACAAAATCTAAATAAAATTCAAGTATGATAGAAAGATGGCAGATCAGAGAAATATCAAAGCAAAGAGAAAAAGCACGCTGGAAGTCAATAAGAGAATTCCAACCAATAGTCAATTGCCTTTTAAAGTCAACAATTAATGGATCAACCACTCACTGTTTGATGCTTTTTGATGTTCAAATATCTCTGCAGCAGAGGAATTTCTGATTTATATGTGTATGCATGGTTTCACACACAATACTGGAGAGGGAACCCAGGGCTTCATGCATTCTGGGCAAGCACGCTACCACTAAGCTTCATTTCTAGCTCTGATGACTGCCTTTTTAAGTTTGAGAATAAATGTGCATCAGAACTAAATACATAGTTTCCAATGTCTAAAATAGAACCACAATTCTAAGAATAACTACGAGTAACTAAGATTTTAAACTAGAATTACATTTTCATCCCTGCTGGTGATTTATAAATGGATCTGTCCCAGTGAGACCATTGGATACACAGACTTATTGTAGAACTCTGTGTTCTTAAATTTGTGGCCAAACTAAAACACAAATAATGTTAAACACAAATTTGTCATTTCAAGTTTCATCAAGTTTGGATGAAGAATGAAATAGGTAAAAATAGAATTCTGATTTTGGAGAAACAGCCTGGCTTTGCTTTATTTACTACTAGAACTAGTGAAAGTGTACTTACCTGAGTGATCGCAATGAATTAGATTGAATATTAGTTTCAGATCAGATCGGTACCTGTACATAGTTTCAATTAGAGGAGTTTTCATCTAAAATAAAGATTTTTCTAAGTGTTAAAACATTAAGAATTAAGGACAGAGATCAATTATAGCAATTGTAAAAAACACAAAACATCCCCACCAACTTCTCCTTTCCATTTGTCTGGTCCCCTTCTTTTCCTCTCTCTTTTCTCTCTATGTGTATTATGGTAGAAATAGAACCCAAGATCATCTTGTGTCCCTATTCTCCAACTGAGCTATACACCAAACCCACCAATTGCAATGATGGGGTTTTAAATCAAATTCAAGGCAGCAAGCTTTTATTTGGCCCAATCAATCTTCGATCACACTAAGGAGCTTGTTCTTGTGCTCCTTAGGAGAACAATGTAAGGAAGCACTAAATAACAACTGCCAATGTTTACAGAAAGCTTGTGTGGATTATTTCATTTGGTCCTTTACAACCCTAAGGAATAGGAACAGATTGTTTGTTCCATCCTACAGACAAGAAAACAAGAGAGACAAATAACTTTACCAACAGTCATGTAGCTATTACATGAGATTTGAGTCTCAGCATTATCAAGCCAATCCCTATTATCTAAATCACTATGGCAAAATGGCACTGAAGTGAAGTTAAACACCTCCTTCCTGGGGATATTTTAGTTTGCAACCATACCATTTTATTTCTCTTCTCTGTTTTTCTCATCAGTTCCCAAATGCTCACAAGTCCTAGCTCCAACAAGCTCAGTGTTATAATTAATTGCTGATGAAATGCTCATCAATAGGGACTGGAATCCAATTACTCTCCCTGAGATGCTGACATTTTAATAAAGTACCATACATTTTGAAATTCTTTAATGCATAGACTGGGTTCGGCAACTATTACATGGTTAGGAAATATGTGAAGTATTTCAAATGTGTGTGGCACAAGGAAATGTCACATCTGGACAAAAGTTAAAATAAGCAACTCAATGGCAGCGATGGGAGGGAGGGAATGAGTGGGAAAGAGGGAACAACTGACACTAAGCAAAAGGAAAGAACTGTACGTATCACCTGATGTGGAAGAAATAACTATTATCAAAGCTCATAGAACTCATGAACTTTATAGACCACGATAAAGACAATTTGCCCCATGAAGGTTAGAATGTGTTTGTGACCTAGAGAATACATACATTTCCTAAATAAGTCACCATGGAGACACCCACCTTGGTCTTGTCTTTGCCTGCCATTCCCATCCATTACATGAGACCACTCTCAACTTTTCAAAGCCTTATGTTGCTTAGAGCTTGTCCAAAGCGTGCATTTCTTACAGCCAGATTTTATCTTATAACAAGTGATACTTACTTTTTCCGGAGAATTTTCGATTTGGACATCCTCAAAGCAAGACATGTAGTCAACATTTCCATCGCTGTCTATATTCACCAGATGTGGACTAAGAGCTCTCCAAGGCAAGTTCAACCCCAAAGTGTTTTCCACAGTAAAAGCCCACTGGGCTACTGAAATTTTTCCTGACAACAGCACAAAAGCCCGTATTATTTGTATAGAATTTGAAAGGAAACATGCAAGCTATCAGGTACAGCCAGAGTCCGAGCTTTGGGTTTTGAGACCAGGGAACAGGCTGTTTTTCATGATCTGACAGCCTTTCCTATTCCACAGATTTTACCTTTCCTGTCCTGTGTAAGAAATCTCATTTGGGCTATTTGGGCTATGTTTCTTTTTTCTGATTAAGGGGGAAAAAGTTATGCTTATTATAGAACATTTAAAATCAACAGAAGACATAAAATATATACGTGCATACACATATATGTGCAATTTTTATTTCTAGTAATATGTATTGCTTAGTTTATTCTGCTTGCTGTTAATGGAGTTATTCTGGTTTTGTTAGTGGATTCATAGTGTTCTTATATATTAACTATATATAATAAGATTCGACTATCTCTTGGATTCTTTTGCAATTGAATAATCTATCAATCTACTATTGTGTCTTTCTAGCAATATATGTATATCTGCTTGCTTTTAAGAATTCATTTAAAAAAAAAGAATTCATTTTTGCCATTGTAGCTTTAGTCTAAGTGCACATATGTGTGGACTTAATTTTAATATTACTTCTCTTTACTATTCCGAAATTTTCATCAGTTCTTGGATACTCTCAAGCACTCTTATTCTTATGTTCTATTCTCTCCCTAACACATTGATTAGATGTTTGCTAAACTTTCTCATGTTGTCATATCTCTTTTCAGTTCTTTGATTCTGTTGCTTTTCCTTGGTTTGGTTTTGTTTTTTGGTTTGAGGAGGGCTCTGGAAATCTAGACTCACTGTTTCAAGGCTTTCTCTTTTTTTGTGTGAATATTGATAAGCAAGCAGTCTACCACTTGGGCTATGCCCTAAGCCCTTTGGTTTTTATTTTAAAGACAGTCTTCACACAATCCTCTTGCCTCTCCTTCCCAAGTAGTTGGGATTACATGCATGTGGCACTATGCCTAGCTCTCACTGTTCATAATACTTAATCTTTTTTATTTTTGTCTGTCATGGGGCTTGAACTCTGGGCCTGGGCACTGTTTCTTAGATCTTCAGCTCAAGGCGAGAGTTCTATCACTTCAGCCAGAGAGCCACTTCTGATTTTCTGGTGGTTAGTAGAAGAGTCTCACAGATGTTCCTGCCTGGGCTGGCTTCGAACCGTGATCCTCAGATCTCAGTCTCTTGAATAGCTAGGATTACAGGCATGAGCCACCAGCACCAAGCCTTTTATTTCTTTAGATAATTTATATTTTGTGTTTGATGATCCCAACATCTTATGGCATAGGGGAGCCAAACATCATGTTTTTTTTTCTAATGACTCTACTTATGTTATTGTTTGTAATCTTCGTAGGTTATGAGAACATAATGGTTGATCTTAAGTTCTTGGATATACCAGTGCCTAAAATTAGAGATATTCCCATCAAAGATAGATTTCCTTGCCAGGGGCATTGAGAGTAGAGACAAAATGTGGAAGTCCAATGCAACTATCCCATCTTTCTACTATATTGGAGTTTGCTCACAGGATGAATCCATAATAATATTAGCAATTGTCACAGGATAATTCAGCTTTGTGTGCTTGTTTTTTGCTCCATGCTTCCTCATATGGTTAAAATCTTTTTTTTTCTTCTTTTATTTTATACTAGGTGTCATTATGTCAGACCGACTGTCTGACCCTCTCCACTGCCAGGATTACAGGTTTGTATCACCATGCCTTGCTCAAATAATCTCTCATAGGAATGGTGATGCAGCCAAATCTGATAAATTAGTTATAATTCAGCATCCCCCAGAATCAAGCTAGTTATTAATATTCTTCTTGAGGTCTAACTCAGGAATGTTATTCACTTTCTGAGTTAAAAGAGGCTTACTGAAAAGAGATATATGACTCTATTGAATGAATATTAGATTAAAAGAGAGAGAGTATGTGTATACTGGAGCCTGAACTCTGGGCTTCATGTTCATCACTCAACAATCTTTTTTCTAACAGAGATGAAAAAATGAAATTCCAAGGAAGCAAAGAAAATGAAAACCAATCTGTATGTAACCTAATATTCTAAGAAATGGAAGAACTTTATAATTTTATCACCTGATTTACTGTAGTCTCGAAGATAGAAGGCAGATATGAGGTCAGATCTTCGTGAAATTATTTTTGCTTTTAATATCCGGATGGTACTTCTTTCCAAAGTATGAATCCTGTAGGAAGTAGAACAAAATTAGGTGGAAGTTACATAAATTGCCCTGGTATGTTCTGTTACCATTCCCCACTTTATAAATTAATCACCTTAATTTATACATATCAGATCACTTTTCAGTGCATGTACACGTGTGTGTGTGTGTGTGTGTGTGTGTGTGAGAGAGAGAGAGAGAGAGAGAGAGAGAGAGAGAGTGGGCATGTATCTGCATAGATTTTCTGAATTGTTTTCCTAAGTATCCCAAGCTAATCTGGAACTCACAATCCTATGACTTCTGCTTCCTAAGTGCTGGGATTATAATCTCCCATTTTACACCAACATTTTAATGTAAAAATTTTATAAACCCCATGTTGGTGGCTCATGCCTGTAATTGTAGCTATTCAAAAGGCTGAGATATGAGGACTGTGGTTCAAAGGCAGTCTGGGCAGGAACGTCTGTGAGACTCATCTCCAATTAACCACCTAAAAATCAGAAGTGGAACTGTACTCAAAAGTGCTAGAGCACTAGCCTTGAGCAAAAAGAACTAGGGATAAACCCTGAGTTCAAACCCCATGACCACCACCACCACCACCATTTCCTGTTACCTCAATTGAAGTAGAAAAGCTCTCATTATCATCAGCTGTACTTAAATGATTATGTGATCTGTTGAGTGTTTCCCTGCTCTGCAATTATGCAATAAGCAACCCCAACAGCAAATGGTGCTAAAAAAGCAATGTAAAAGTTATAGTAATCCTCCCAGTCCAAAATGGACTTACAATGCAAGTAAGTTAAGTGACAGAGTGAAGTTTTTAGATTTCTTGAAAGGCAGTGTGTCTTTAGTGGAAATTGCACAGCATCTGGGAAAAGTGAATCAAGCATCCACAGTAGAGTACTGAACTCCATACTCCCTGAGCATTCACAATGTTTCCTAATGGTGGTTTCCTAGATAGTACGAGGGATATCAAAGGTCTACTGGATAGAGAATCCCAAGGAATTCACTATAAACTAATAGACCAAATCAGTATGTTCATTAAGATTGCATAATATGAGATTCATACATTAAAGTCTCTAGATACTGGAAATGAACAATCCAAAAAGAAATTCAGAAAGTAGCTCTATTATAGCACCAAAAGAACTTTTAGAAAGAAATTTGGAGGGTATATGAATGGGGAGAAGAAGTGGGGGAGAATGCAATAACAAAATTCAATATATATCCCACAAAATTAAGAAAACTGAGGGAAGAGGTGGGGGTGGGGGAAATGGGGGAGAATGATGAAAGGGTGACATTGATTAAGATTCATTACATTCACAAACTGCTTTCTTGAATGGCAACTCCTTTGTACAACTATTTAAAGATAATAAAAACTAATACCACTAGACTCCATAAAAACTCCACATCAAGAAAATTTTTAAAAAGAAATAAATTTAACAAAGTTAGTCTCAGATTTGTTTATGAAAAGTACAAAACACTGTTGAAGGAAATTATATGTAATCTAAATGAGTTAAACAATATTCTATGTCCACAGATTAGAAGGCTTACTATTATTGAGGTGGAAATGCACACAAATTAATCTACAGGTATAACAAATACCCTAATAAAATTGTACTTGGTATTATTTTTTTGCAAGTTGACAAGTTGATTCTAAATTCATACTGAAATCAGGACAGTCCAGTGAAAGGATCTTTGAAGGAATTTTAAAGTTCACTACACATCTCAGTTTTAAAACAGTACATTTAGTATCCTTCATCCAAAAAACATGACAACAGCAATATTTCAGATTTCTGGGATTTTTTACATTTTGGAATATTTCATAGAAATAGGTCCACTTTTAAATTTAATTTGTTTGGTTCTTTTACTTTGAGCTCTATGTGTTTCTCTATAGGTAGGAAAGATTTTATAGCATTGTTTGTAAAAGAAAACCTTGGGAGAAATGTGTCGAATATTTAGCTTCTCCACAACTGCTATGACACATATGTACAATGGAATACTATGCATCTAGTAAAATTAAATAGGTTTATGTATCCTAACATGAAGTGATATGCATTATATAATACTTAGGAAAAAGTCATTTGCAAAATACAGGGTATAACTACTTTTTTTGTGTGCTGCTACCGAGGCTTGGATTCAAAACCTGATGCTCTCAACTTGGCTTTTCTACTGAAGGCTGGCACTCTACTATACGACCCATGTCTCCCAGGTTTTTTTCCTGGCTAACTGGAGCTAAGAAGTCTCTTGGATTTATCAATCTAGGCTGGCTTCAAACATGTGATATTCAGATCTCAGCCTTCTGAGCAGCAAGGATTACAGACATCAGTCACAGGTACCACACAGGATGTAATTAAATCTATCTTTGTGAAAAGATACACGTATGTGTCTCTTCATATTAGATAAAGAGAGTTTTGTCTGTTATGCCTACTGCTATGCCCAAACCTGTACCTACTAAGATAGTACCTGCCACGTATGAAAGGCTCACAAGCTATTTTGAACAACAAATTAACAATCTTTTGGCTACTCCTATAGGACAAAAATACAAGGACAGGAGAGGATATCCTTTGTATTCATTTTAATTACTTATGAGAAAAGGGATTGAGAAGAGTAACAGGTAATTAGCATTTTATTTATATTTATTTTTCTCACTTAATAATAAGCATAATGGTTTTGAAATATATATAAATAAAAAGATAGTGTTTCAGGAAAAAGGTTAAACAATGAAAATATTGAAAATTTTAGTCATATATATTTCTGGATAAAGAAAGCAAAAGACCAGATGAGGTAGAGAGGGTTGAGGTAGGGTAGAGAAGGTTGTAAGTAAAGGGACAGAGTTAGGATGAAGGCTTTTGTGTTATACTTCCCTACACTTATGAGTAATGGCTTCTTATGAATTGAAAATTGTCCCCTGTGCTATCCAATATGGGTACATTCACCACTTGTTTGTGCCTTTGTTGATGACTTGTTTGTGTGGCTACTCAGTCATCTGGCACTGCTGTCACATGATCATTAATATTTAATCCCTGGTATTCTTAGAACATACACACCTTTGGGAAAGCTGGATTAGACATGATGCCCCAGCTACTCGGTATTGGAAAAATCGAAGCATCATGCCATAAACCAGTTTGATGTAAGCTCCCCGGTTGCTACTGTCTTCATAATAATTAGAGGCAGAGAAAACTGTAATTACCTAATTAAAGAAAAAGAAGGTAAGCCTCAATAAAATGAGTTCTCAAAGGTCATTCAAGAAAGGCAAAAACAGTTCAATTCTTTAAAAGCAAACAAAGCTCACAGTGCCTGCAAATTATCCAAGTTTAACATGACTTCCACTGGAATAAAAAGAAAGCTTGTCACTCACTGTCTCCAGGATACACAGATCCTAACTACTCATCCAAATTCTCATTGTATGAACAATTGAGCAGGTTCAGAGCCCCACAAAACTAGAGCTTCAAGAGCACAGAAATAATGTATGGACTAAGGGTCCAGTCACTATCTTCAGATGGAACTCGCGTGAACATGGTAGAAATGACAACCAGTATTCTGGCCTAGTTCTGTGCTACTGAGCATATCAATTCAGATAAGCCACCATGTTTTCCACTTTCTCCTAACAAAGAAATCTTAAATTCATCTTGCAATGTTAGTATTAGCCCCAAATAAGTCAATAGAATTAAGGAAAGCATTGCTATGGAAAGAAGTGCTATCCAATCTGGAATTCATTCTTATTTACTGCTGTTCACTATGGAAACAGAGGTAGCCCAGGACACCACTTCTAGCCTTACTGCCACCACTGAAGGGGGACATCAGACTCCACTTCAGTGGCTGTCTCTCAACTGACCACGAAGAGCAACCTGCGGGAAACTGCCTCATCAGCCAGTGGAAAGAACTGTGTTTTGGGTCTTTTGTTCTGCACAGGGAATGTGCTAAGAGGGGCTTCACTGCTGAGGAAAAGCAGTGGGAAATTGGTTTACAGTTAGTATAGAATGAACTTATTCTGTACATGTACGTAGTGTCATGTAATAGAATTTGTTTCTGGGACAAGTGAGCATCAGGAAATGAGTCAAATCTTGCTTGGGATATAGTGACAATGAAGCTCCAAGTAATCTAGGTGAAACCTGCAGTCTCTAGTTTCTGTTTATCACTGAGGAAGGTATCCGCTCCTGGGCTTCTAGGTCAGACAAAACCAACTGTGCAGAAAGCACTACAGGTGGGTTGAGGGTGTCACCAGTGATGGCAGCTCACCTTTCCATCATGGCAGATATCATACCCATCAGGCTTGCACTCATGAGATCTAATGATCATCTTCAAGTGGTATTTATTAAGAAATTTGGCAGTAACATCTGGTCCAAAGTAGCAGCCCCCTCCTCGACTTGTGTTTGGATAACAGCCATTCTTGCCTTTGGGGTCACTCCACAGAAGGTCAATAATCTTTGGACAATAAAACCAAATTAGGTTACTACTTACAAATATGAATCTGTCTTGCCAGATTCCAACTTATCTTCCAGAAATTTAACCCAAGGTTCCCAAAGAATATTCTCCATTCTTCCCTCAAAATTGTTTCAGACACTTTTCTTCCATGTACTCTTTCAAGCATAATCATAATGCCCTTTACTACCCCCTACTTATCTTTCTTCTCATCTCCAATAACCAGTTTAGCAATGACCATATACTATACTATACAAGGTGGAAACACTTGATACCTGTAAAGATTCAGTGCTTGATTTTTCTTTCTTAGCTCTGAAAAAAATCTAACTTTTTACAACTGATGAACAAAAAGTTATTTTATCTTCAACGAACACATACTAGGGATCTCTGTATGTGTGTGTGTTTGCATATATACGTGCATTCACACAGTACTGGGGCTTGAATTTAGGGCCAGGGCACTTCCCCTTAGCTTTTTCACTCAAGGCTGGTGATCCACACTTCCATTTCTGGCTCTTTTGGTTAATTTTTAACTCTGGGCCTGGGTGCTGTCCCTCAGCTCTTCAGCTCAAGGTGAGTGCTTTATCACTTCAGTCACAATGCTACTTCCAGTTTTCTGGTAGTTCATTGGAGATAAGAGTCTCACAGACTTTCTTCTTGGACTGGCTTTGAACCACGATCCTCAGTTCTCAGCCTCCTGAGTAGTTAGGATTATAGGCATAAGCCACCAGTGCCTGGCTCTTTTGATTAATTGTAGGTAATAGTAGTATAGACTTTTCTTTCCTTTACTTTTTTCTCTTTTTTTTGGTCACAAGACTCAAACTCAATACCTGACGCTTTTGCTTATTGTCTGGTACTCTAACAATTGAGCCATGCCTTCAAAACCCAAGGTTGGTATTTCTTTTCTGTTCCTCAGACTTTTCTGTCTAGGCTGAATTCAAACCACAATCCTCCTCGAATTGCAATCTCCTGAGTAGCTATGATTACAGGCAGCACCTGGCTCACATTAGGCATTCCTGATATGCTCATAGAGATATGTTCTACCACTTGATATATTCTATCACTTGGACCATGTCTCTACTTGGTCTGTTCATTCAATGGAATATGATTCACAAAGAAAAAGAAATAAAAATATTGACACATGATACAACAATCAGGAATTTAAAGAATACCTTCCTAACTGAAAGCTACCAGACAAAAGAGTCCATGTCCTTTACATGTCCATTTCAATAACATGCACAGAATAAACAAATTCCTAAATAAATAAATGAATAAATTAGGTAGTGATTATCTAAAAATGGTGAAGGAAGTTTCGATGGAGTTGAGTGACTGCTAAAAAGAATGGAGTTTGTGCCAGGCACTGATAGATCAATCCTGTAATCCTAGCTATTCATACAGCAGAGATTTAAGGATCTAGGTTCAAAGTCAGTCCAGGCAGGATAGTCCATGAGACACTAATCTCCAATTAACCACCAGAAAATTGAAGTAGAGCTGTGGCTCAAAGTGGTAGAGTGCTAGGCTTAAGCAATAAAAGCTCATGGATAGCACCCAGGCCCTTCGTTCATGCCCCATGAGTTCCCAAAGGAAAAAAAAAGCATGGAGTTTGTTCTGGGGTGACAAAACTGTTATAAAGTTAGATTACAGTGATAGCTGGATAGTTGTGAATATACTAAAATCTACTGGATTACTGGCATCAGCACAGATTTTAGCCCCACGACCAACAACAATAACAAAAACAAAACATCAACCCTGTGGAGCTGTGGCTCAAATAGTAGCACTAGCCTTGAGCAAAAAAAAAAAAAAACCTTAGGAATAGTTCCCAAGGCTCTGAGTTCAAGCCCCAGGACCACCCACAGACACACAAAGAAATTTGGAGTAGATGCCCCTCAGTAGATGAATGGATCAAGAAAATGTGGTATATATACACAATGGAATTCTATGTCTCCATCAGAAAGAATGACATTGCCCCATTTGTTAGGAAATGGAAAAACTTGGAAAAAATTATATTAAGTGAAGTAAGCCAGGCCCAAAGAAACATAGGTCCCATGGTTTCCCTTATTTGCAATATCTTGTATATCTATGAGTCAAGCGGAAAAGGTCAGATAATGTGATGTCAGGAAAATGAACCCTTAGATATGCATTTTAATGTTTTTTTCTTTCATGCATGTGTTTCTAACGCATTTATAAGATTATCTCTTTGTTGCTTTGTATGTCCCTCCCCCACAGTATAACCCCTGCTTTCACTATATTTGATGTCAGTATAACTGGTGGAGGAGATGGGGAAAAACCAGTTGTTTAAGGATACAGCTGGATCTGATGCAACAATGAGAGGTACAAGTTGTCATGTCCAAAACGAGCTTTACAACGTCGGTGCGGTGGGGGGGGAAGGAGGGGAAGGAGAAGGATTGGGATGGGGGGGAGGGGGGAGGCTGGGGAAGGGATGTGAAGGGTAAACAAAGGAGGAGGCTGCAATGCTTGGTAAGAAATGTACGCATTATCCTGCCCATGCAATTGTAACCCCCAAAAAAAAGTTAAAAAAAAAAAGAAATTTGGAGTGACTCAAATGGTAGAGCTAGTGAAGAGATAATAGGATCTGGCAATAAATGTAAAGTCGTTTTAAGTTATATTGTAAAGAACAACAGCATCTAAGCTGGTGTTTTGTTTACTACTCTGGAAAAGACTTTTGATTACCTACCTGTTCCCATTCTTGCCTTGGTAACAAATCAGGCGGGGAAATGGTGCTCCCTGAGGTAGTAGCTTCTTCGTCTGAATCAGTCAAGTTTGTCAATCGGTTTCTGCTTGCTCCCAGTGGGGGCATCAGCACAGATTTTAGCTACAAAACAAATATGTGCTTTAATCAAACCATCTGCTTATTGGGTTGCATGCAGACACTTCAGTACCAGATGGGACATGTTCATGTTGTAATTCAGGTGACTGAAAAGCATGGTCCCTTTTTCCATTTCTTCTACTTCCTATATCTTATTGAACCCCTAAGGTCTATATAAAGTAGGCCTGTAAAGTATTGTGCATTTTTCAATTAGAGACACTTTGCTATAGGTCAAGATTATTTTACAATAGAGTTTGTAAGGGATCCCAAAGGCACAGGTATATAGGCTAGATATATTCTTTTATGCTTTACTTTTTAAAAAATTAAGTAGTTGTACAAAACGGTTTCAGTTCAATATGTTTACTAGTACAATGTATCACCTATCTGTTTCTCTGAGATTCAGGTCCAGCTCTAGAGTCCACCTGCTCATTTTTGTAGGAAGATGACTGACAGTTGTGAGTGGTAATGGTTCAGGTTTTACACTAAGACCATGTACCATCATTAGCTCCACGGCTCCTCATCCTCATGTGGCATTCCCCTTTGTCCCTAGACTAGAGGCTTCAACTTGACTCTGGTAAGGGAGAAATACAACTCTGGTTCCCCTGTAAGGCCCACCCAAGGATCCCTACACTATACGTGGAAGCTTTACATGTATCACATAGACACATTCCTGAGAGGCTCTATACAGGCTCCTGTTCTGCTTCTGCTGTACTTAATATGATTATTTAGGATTAAAATGTTTCAATAATTATCCCAACCCATTTGAAATATGGGAGAAGTCATAAAATTTTGATATAAATTGTTAGATAATCCTATGTACATGAGTCACCTAGTATAATCAAATTGATAGGGACAGAAAATAGAATAGAATATCCATTGCTGCAGCTAGAAGGTAAGGAAGAATGAAGTTATTGTTTAATGGGTACAATTTCAGCCTAAGTAGTTAAAAAGTTCTGCATATTTACAAGGTGAATGCATTTAATGCAACTAAACTACATATACACTTAAAAATGGTTGCAGTAGTGGCGGAGGGACATCAACAAGGGAAGGAGTAAAATTGATCAACAAGTAATCTACTCATTGCCTTAGTCATGTAACAGTAACCCCTCTGGTATAATAATATTATATAATATATTATATTATATATATGTTATATAATATTATATAATATAATAAATATTATAATAAAATAAGATTTAAAAATGGTTACAGTAGTAAATTTTATGTTAGATTTGTATAATATAAAGGTAATGAGATTTTGTTTTAAAGATCAGGATTTTTCACTTTTAGAAACAATATGTAATGCCAACATTTCTTCATTCTTCCACTTTCGTTATGATTTGTTAAGAAACTTTTTCCACCTATAGAAATTACCCACTTAGTTTTGTATCATGCAAAGATTTTCTAGGAAATTTTAGTAGTATTTTCATAATTACAACAATCACTAAAACATAAAGCATATACTCCATTTTTTTAAAAAAGATCCATGCAAATACTACTTACTTTGCTTCTTTGTATTCGGTTGAGTAAATTCAAGTCTGTGGACTCTGATATCCCACCATGTACGACAAGAATTTGTTTGTCAATAATTGTACCCACTGGGAGCCAACTGTAAACTTCTTCCAAGACTTCCAAAATTTTTCTTCCGTGTACCTTTAAGTAAGAGCTTGAGTAAGTTTTGATTTACTGACATATCTCATTTTGAATAGTCAAAATAAATGAACCAAACAAACAACAGTTTTCATATCACTCAAAGGATGTCAGCAAGCAGTTAATAACCAGCTAACATTTAATAATTACATTTTAATCCTTTATTTATAACACTTTGACCTCTTGAGGCCTTGACCATCCTGAAGATGAGAATGTCCTTCCCAGAGATAGCTAATAGGAATAAGATAGGAATAGAATATGCAAACCTATCAATTCAGGCTACACTTCCAAGGATCTCTTTATTGAGTTCTTCATGCCAGTGGCTCACCCCTGTAATCTTAACTACAGGAGGCTGAGATCTGAGGATCATGTTTCAAAGCCAGCCCAGGCAGGAAAGTCTGTGAGACTCATCTCCAATTAACCACCAGAAAAATGGAAGTGGCATTGTGGCTGAAGTGGTAGAGTGCTAGCTTTGAGCTGAAGAGCTGAGGGACAGTGTCTAGGCTGAGAGTTCAAGCCCCATGACCAACAAAAAAAATTCTGCTTGGGCTGACTTCCTATTGCCTCATGATCCTCATATCTCAGCCTCCTGAGTAACCAGGATTACAGGCATGAGCCACTAGTACCTGGCTAACAATCATTTCTTTGTGTATCTGTTTTACCATACCTGAGTAAAACAAAATCAAGGTGGAAACCTTCAAATCAATGGGCTATGTTCATATCCTTGCTGGAGCACACACAAAAGTCAAAATTAAAAAATGTTTTAAAGTCTCTATACCATGACCAGGGCTTCTTGCTGTGTTTCTATTTTATTGACAGATTCAGAATAGCACATCATTACTGGCTCTTTTTCACTTCTATGTATCAACAACAAAAATAATGCAAAAAGTATGAATCTTACCTTGTATTTATGTAAGACTTCTTTTGAGAAACCATATCTAAAGAAAAAGAAAATGAGAATATTATTGTTGATAACTCCTACTCATCTGTATCACACAAAAATGGGGAGCCATCATGACATTTACTAGTACCAGCACTAGGAACTCAAGAAACTAGACTTGAATTGGAACTACTACTTACCAGTCTTACTGGGCATGATGGGAAAAAATAAAAGAAACTATTGGCATGTCCCTACTTGCAATCAGCTTATAGGATACTTGGGGAAAGAAAACAGATTTTCATGAAACAAATCATAAGACAAATTAAGAAATAGGTGGTTGTGTAAAGTTATTAAGTGTTTTGAGCTGGAGAGAGCTGTGTGAGCAAAGTCTTTTTCTAGACACCAGAAAGTGTAGATCAAATGATGAGAGAAAAAGCCAAGATTGAACAAAACAAAGGAAAGCCTAGAAGATAACTATTTCATGATTTCTTTGATACAGGTCATGTAATAAATGTTGCTGAGTACCAAGAAATTCCTAATAGAAATAGTGAAAGCAAATTTTTTCATTTACATTTCCTTGTCTTAGTATGTACTCATAGTACCCAACATGCTAAAGTAGGTACAAAGCATGCACAATCCACATTTTCATACACACCTTACCCTGTTCCCTGTCAGGCTTCTACAGTATAATTTATGTTTTTCAAGATGAATTCCTGCTAAACTCATCAAAGGTGTCCTCATTAAAGGAATGCTCATGACCTAAACTTTCTCATCTTCTCTGAAACACTAAATATTCTCCTGGAAAACTACTGTTAAATTTTGTAAATCAATTCTTGTGGTTTTCCTCCTACCATCCTAGCTGGTATGAAAATTCTTTGCCTTAAATGGTAGCATTCCTTCCAATTTTGTCCTAAGGCATCTCTTCTCTTTAATTTCTTCCTGACAATCTCACTTCTTTCTCGGGCAAAGCCTTAGTTCCTACAAAGTGACACACCGGACTATATTTCTGACCTCCAGACATCTATACAAAACAGTCTATTCAACAGCAATATAAATCAGCTTACCTCAAACTGAACTCATCATTCTCCTTCAAGCCAGCTCATCCTTGATTCCTCAGTCCTTCAAGAACCTCCATTGCCCAAATTCTTGAATCTATTTCTCTGTACCTCCTTTGCCACACTCCAATGGAAATTAGAACCATCATCTATTTCTTCAACCATTCCCTAACTGACCTCCCTGTGTGCACTCTACCCCACTGAAACAACCACAGATTTATAGTATTCTTCAAAAATATTCTGCCATCATTAGAACAAAGCCCTCATATTCCTTTGTACCGTCATACCACTTCTTATATCTCCAACCATATCAGGTACCATATCCTATTTCCTCATTCTATGTGTCTATGTTGCTAAACTTCTTTCAAATTAAAAAGTCTTGCTTGTCTTAAGCTCTGCAATAAGTTGTGTCCTCACTGTGGGATAATGTTACCTATCTTCCTTCTGTGCTTCTCTCTTAATTGACTAGGTCATCCTTTCAGGGTAAGTGTCAAATTTCTATGGGAGGGGCTGGGAAGGTGGCTCAGTGGTAGAGTGCTTGCCTTGCATGCCTGAGCCCCTGGGTTCAATTCCCCAGCACCACATAAGCAAAAAGAAAAAAAGCCAGAAGTGGCACTGTGGCTCAAGTGGTAGAGCACTAGCCTTGAGCTGAAGAGCTGAGGGACAGCGCCCAGGCCCAGAGTTCAGGCCCCATG